TCTTTCTTTCTTTCTTTCTTTCTTTCTTTCTTTCTTTCTTTCTTTCTCTTTCTTTCTTTCTCTTTCTTTCTCTTTCCTTCTTTCTCTTTCTTTCTTTCCTTTTTTCTTTCTTCTTTTTTCCTTTCTCTCTCTTTCTCTCTCTCTTTCTTTCTTTGTTTTTTGAGACAGAGTCTCTCTCTGTTAGCTAGGATGGAGTGCAGTGGGGCAATCACAGCTCACTGCAGCCTCAACCTCCTGGGCTCAAGCAATTCTTCCCATTTTAGCCTCCTGAGAAGCTGGGACTACAGATGCGCACCACCATGACCACCTAATTTTTGCATTTTTAGTATAGATGGGGTCGCGCCATGTTGCCCAGGCTGGTCTCGAACTCCTGGGCCCAAGTGATCCAGCCACCTCAGCCTCTCAAAGGGTTGGGATTACAGATGTGAGGCAATGCCAATACTAACTTGTTGAATATCAATTCCAATAAGATTTGTTGAATAATTTTTCTTTTCCTCACAAATTTTAAGTCTCATCTACTAAATTTGTGTACACACACACCTCTTTTCTTCTATGGCACTATTCTATTAGTTTATTCTCTTCATACACGTATCCTAGTTCTTTATGATTTTATGTTTTAAATATTAAACAGAAAAAGTTTATCGTAAATATGATACAGAAAGAAAGAGTTAAAATTCCATTCATTTACAATGTTCTTCCTTAGATTAATCTCTGTTAACAGTTTCATGAATATGCCCAAACATTTTATATAAAAATATATTGATAAAGAGAACAATACCTAACACTTATTAAGCTTTTACTTTTTTTGTTTGTTTGTTTGTTTTTTTGATTTTTGGGGTTTTTTTTGAGATGGAGTCTCACACTGTCGCCCAGGCTGGAGTGCAATGGCGTGATCTTGGCTCACCTCACTGCAACCTCCGCCTCCTAGGTTCAAGAGATTCTCCTGCCTCAGTCTCCTGAGTAGCTGGGATTACAGGTGTGCACCACCACACCCAGCTAATTTTTTGTATTTTGAGTAGAGACGGGGTTTCACCGTATTAGCCAGGCTGGTCTCTAACTCCTGACCTCGTGATCTGCCTGCCTCGGCCTCCCAAAGTGCTGGGATTACAGGCGTGAGGCCCCATGCCCGGCCAAGCTTTTACTGTTTAACATAGTTTCCAGGCACTGTTCTAAGTGCTTTACAAATAGGAACTCCTTTACTTCTCATAATAACCCTATATGGTGGGGACTACCCTCTCCTTAACAGATGTGGAAACAGACATCAAGGATCATGCCCCAGGTCATATAGCTAGTAAATGGCAAAGCCATGATTTGACGACCTGGCAATCTGGCTCCAGAGCCCAAACCTTGTATTGCTTCTTCATTCTCACAGATGATCTCACTGGGCACCGTAAAACTTCTGAGCCTTCGCCTGCCTAAAATGTCCCATTGTTTTGTAATTGCAAGTTCTTTCATGATTGCGTATGTCTTTCCCAGTGAGGCAATTTGTCATCTTCTTTGCCTATTTTTGGTTGAATCATCAATCTTTTTATTGTTGATCTTAAGCAGCTCTGTGGATGTCAAGAAAATCCACTCTTAGTCTTATGGATTGCTAATATTCCAAAGTGTTTATTTACTTTGCTTATGATGGTTTTGTTTTTGTTTTTGTTTTTGGCCTTTGAGTGCTTTTTTTGCTCCTGTCTTACAAGAATTTCAAATTCTTCTATAATCTAATTTACCAGTGTTTTCCTTTAAGGTGGTGGTTCTTAGCCCTGGCTATGCACTATCAACAGGCTTTCACTTGTACAAAGCCCCCAGGTGATTCTGCTGCACCACTGCACTGAGGCTTGCAGTGTTGGTGTCTCGCTTGGGCTTCCTCTACTTTAGGATTACAAAATTCTTAGCTCGTTTTGTTCTTCTAGTAATTTTACTTTGTATTTGCATCAACCTAGCTAGTGGTATTTTTTGATTGTTTGTTTGTTTATTTGTTTGTTTTTAGACGGAGTCTCTCTCTGTCGCCAGGCTGGAGTGCAGTGGCACCATCTCGGCTCACTGCAACCTCCAATTCCCTGGTTCAAGTGATTCTCCTGCCTCAGCCTCCCGAGTAGCTGGGATTACAGGCATGCACCACCATGCCCAGCTAATTTTTGCATTTTTAGTGGAGAAGGGGTTTCACCATGTTGGCCAGGATGGTCTCGATTTCCTGACCTCATGATTTTTGAGACGAAGTTTCACTCTTGTTGCCCAGGCTGGAGTGCAATGGCACAATCTTGGCTCACTGCAACCTCTGCCTCCTGGGTTCAAGTGATTCTCCTGCCTCAACCTGCCAAGTAGCTTGGATTACAGGCATGTGCCACCACACTCAGCTAATTTTGTATTTTTAGTATACACGGGGTTTCTCCATGTTGGTCAGGCTGGTCTTGAACTCCTGACCTCAGGTGACCCGCCCCCCTCGGCCTCCCAAAGTACTGGGATTATAGGCGTGAGCCACTGCGCCTGGCCTATAATTTGTTTTAAGGGGTCTATATATACCGTATGGTTTAATTATTGTCACTTTATCATACATTTTTATATGGTTGGACAAGTCCCTCTTTATTTTTTTCCCTCTTTATTTTTTTCTATGCTGTACTCTCCTTTGTCTGTTCTTTCAGATTAGCTTTGTTATGACTATTTCTATTTCCTTACACTCCCATTTCTTCAGGGGAAAATGTCCAGAAACAAATGAATCCTCAGGTCTGGATCTCAGGAGAAGACTCTGGACTGAGCTATGGATCTGGAAACTCCCAGGACAGAGCAGTGGTTCCCAGCTGGAGACGATTTTGCACCCAGGGGACATTTGCAAGGTCTGGACAGTTTGGGTTGTCACAGCTGAAGGAGTGTTATGGCACTTGGTATCAGGCAGGGATGTTGCTAAACATCCTACAGTGCACAGGACAGCCGTCCCCAACAGAGTTCCTGGACCGCACGTGTCAGTGGTGCTGGGGCTGAGAGGCCATTGGTGGACCCATGGAGCTGGCGAGGCTGCCCTGGAGTCTGGCCTGTGAGGGAAGCGGGAACCTCTGAGGGAGTGCAGCGTTCAGCAGCATCCATCCATCCAGCCAGCCATGAGGCCTGGCAGAGGGGTGGGAGAGGAGGTGCACCTGCCGTAGACCCCACAAGCCTGTCACGGAGCTGGGACTTGGAGTGAAAGGGAGAGGGACGTGGTCAGAACTGTGCCTTAGAAAGACTCTGGACGTGGAGAAGGGGCTGGGGAGAGGCGAGAGCTGCGTGGTGCTGTGACTGCCTGCTGGAATGGCAGGCTAGGCCAATGTGGGCAGCAGTGAGGGAAGGGGTGATTCGGGACCTGGAAGAGGCAGGACAGGGCAACGGGCTGGACTGGAGGGGTGAGAGGAGTCAGTGACCTTTGGCACGTAGCAAAGAGTTCCCATGCCCCGCCACCAGCGTCATGCTAGGGCAGGCTGGGCGCTCACCCTCACAGAATGTCCCATGAATAATTATGTAACTAAAAGTGCTGCTGTGTGTTACAGGTAGCAACTAACTGGGGTTGGTGGCATGGGCGGTAAAAAGAATTTACCAAGACTGTTGTAGGTAAAGAAAGGCAGATTTATGAGAGAAAGTAGGAAAATACGTTGCAAGAAAGCAATGGGCAAATCACCAAGAGAGGCGCTGGCAGCGAGAGACGAAGGCGTGCGGGGGATTTTATCGGATGGGGCTTGTGCTGGAGAAGGGCCATGTGCAGTGCGATAACACCCAGGTTGCAGGGAGCTAACGCATTTTTCTATCAGCCGAGGGTCTGGGGATAGCTGAGCGCGGGAAGATTGTGATTTGTCTGCACAGGAGGGCCGTGTGTCCCAGACCATGAAGAAAGGCAGGCTCACAGCTTCTCTGCTCTCTCTTTTGCTTTCCCCGGGTCCCGCTGGTCTGACTTCTTTCCCTCATTAGGACTCTGCAGCATGGACACCAAGAAGAGAGGCAGAGCCTGTAACAGGAACGCTCAGCCAAGGAGGCTTCTCTGATGAGGGCCAGAGCTGTCCAGGCCAGGCCTGGAGGGACAGACGCATATTCATGTTCAAGGTTTTGTTTGAACATGGTTTCAGTGAATCCTCTCAATGTTTTGAAATTCCAGCTTAGTTTCAGTCATCTACAAAACCCTTGCTCCCCCGTGGTACCATCCCCTTTATGTTGTTATTGTCACAAATTACATCTTGACACGCTGTGGGTCACCAGCAGGATTTGTAATTATTGTAATATGCAGTTGTCTCTTTAAATTGCAAGGCACTTAGAGCGAAGGTGCCGCATGCTCCCTCCAGTCCCCCCGGGAAGCAGCCAGAGCCCCCGGGAAGGGCCAGGTATCAACTTGCCAGACGTCACAGCTCCTTCCAGGCTCCCAGCTTCTCTTCCGTCAGTGGATTCCAATTCTGAAAACTGGCTCATGTCCAGAAACAGCACGGAGTGTGACTTCCTGCTGGGGTGGCCCCTCAGCCCCTGCCCTCTGTTCGACTCTTACATGTGAAGCGTCCCCCTTGTTGGTTTCACCCCCGAGGGCACGGTGCGGTGTTACCGCCCCGTTACTGCCCCTCAGCCCCTCGGCAGCCGCCTGCCTCGTCCTCCCCACTGGGATTAGGGAGCCTGGATCTGTAGCTGCCTCTCCCACCATCAGCACAGGCTGCAGAAGGGGAGCCCCCCGACTTCCCGCTGATGCTGGTGCTTTCCCCGGGGCTTCCTGCACACCCACCTCCCTCCACCCCATTCCTTCCTCTACCAGCTGGCAGAGAACTTGGGGGTTTCTGCTTCACTGCAAGCTGGCTACCACTTTTGTCAAGGTTTTCAAGAGCCATTCCAAGTTTTCCCCACCTCCTGGGTCCTGAGAAAGTGCCCCACTGCAGCAAATGTTTCCAGGCCCTTGGTCACGCCCCTCACCCTCCCATCCCGGGGCTTCTCTTCTGCCCCGCTGGGGCCATCAACCAGTTCTTGCAATTACCCAGCTGTGCAGCCCTTTTCTCCCTCTGCAGGCTTAGCACCCTGCCCTTCCTGTTGGTCTGTGCTGGCATTTAGCCCTCGCAACGGGCCTGGCAGGCAGGTGGGACAGCTCCTGAGGCGAGCACTTACTTCCTGGTGAGAAAGGTGAATCCGTAACGTCTCCAGCACAATAGATGCGCGCACCTTCAGGGGGCAGGAGGACCTGTGCACTTCCAGAGGTTCCAGAGGACTGGAGGGACCCAGGTTTTCACCAGGGGGCCCTGACTTTCCACCTTTTCAGAACTGACCCACTGGTGGCCCTTCACTCCGGTTAAGTGCCTGTTTAGCTCTGTGGTAGAGGCACTCCAGTCTCACACCGAGCTTGGTAATAGCTCTCAGTATGGGGAACCAGCCAGCTGTCCTGTCTCTGTTGGCTTGGTTACTCCCCCGCCCCAGTTTTTCAGGTGCTTGTGTCATCCCATCATCCCACCAGCCACAGCACTGCACTCCACTGAGATATTTTCCCAGGTCATCACTCATGAAGCTCCCACCGTGTGTCAGGGACCACCTGACCTCCCAGCCAACCAGGACAGCAGCCTCTGCACCCTTTGGGTGGTGGGCAGGACAGTCCCAGATCCTCTCCTATGCCACTTATGTTAGTCCAGGTCTTCTGAGATGCAGATGGGATAAAGGTATAAGGATTCGGTTACATTTTATTAGATGATGAAGGCTGGGTGTGGTGGCTCATGCCTGTAATCCCAGCACTTTGGGAGGCCAAGGCAGGCGGATCACTTGAGCTCAGGAGTTTGAGGCCAGCCTGGGCAACGTGGTGAAACACTGTCTCTACATAAAAAAAATTAGCCTGGCATAGTGGTGTGTGCCTGTAGTCCCAGGCCTGGCATGGTGGTGTGTGCCTGTAGTCCCAGGCCTGGCGTGGTGGTGTGTGCCTGTAGTCCCAGGCCTGGCATGGTGGTGTGTGCCTGTAGTCCCAGGCCTGGCGTGGTGGTGTGCGCCTGTAGTCCTAGGCCTGCATGTGGTGTGCGCCTGTAGTCCCAGGCCTGGCGTGGTGTGCGCCTGTAGTCCTAGGCCTAGAATGTGGTGTGCGCCTGTGCCTGTAGTCCTAGGCCTGCATGTGTGGTGTGCGCCTGTAGTCCCAGGCCTGGCGTGGTGTGCGCCTGTAGTCCTAGGCCTAGAATGTGTGCGCTTGCAGTCCCAGGCCTGAATGTGGTGTGCGCCTGTAGTCCAGGGGCCTAGAATGTGTGGTGTGGGCGCCTGTAGTCCTAGGCCTAGAATGTGAGTTTCTGTAGTCCCAGGCTCAGAATGTGGTGTGTGCGCCTGTAGTCCCAGGCCTAGAATGTGGTGTGCGCCTGCAGTCCCAGGCCCAGAATGTGGTGTGCGCCTGTAGCCCCAGGCCTAGGGAATGGTGTGCGCCTGTAGTCCTAGGCCTAGAATGTGGTGTGCGCCTGTAGTCCTAGGCCTAGAATGTGGTGTGTGCCTGTAGTCCTACCTACTTGGAAGGCTGGAGTGAGAAGGTTGCTTGAGCTCAGGAGGTGGAGTTTGCAGTGAGCCGAGATCACGCCCCTGTACTGCAGCCTAGGTGATGGGAATGAAGCCCTCTCAAAAAAAGAGAGAAGATTTTTATTAGATTTTGAAGATTAGATATTGTCGTTATTATTAGAGATGAAGCATGGAGGTAGCTAAGAAACCTGGAAGAGCTTCAGAATGTGAGTAGCTCTAACTTCCAGAGAAGAAGAGAGGGAAAGAAGGTTGACTTTCTTTCCCTAGACCTAGATCACTGAACAACCTAAGGAATGTTCAGGAAAGCTGCCCAGGAGTTCTTGAGCCGAAGAAGTGTGGCCTCGGCAGAAATGCAGAGACAGATTCTGAGCACGAGAGCTGAGGCCGCTGGTCATGACATTCCCATAGTTGGAGGCCTATGAGGCACACTTCCAAGGAAACTGTAACTGTTTAAAATAACAATCATGTCCTATGTGTGTGTTTTTAAAAGAAAGGCTGAAAGTTAATTAGCTCATCATCCACCTGAAGAAGCAAAATCAACCTGAAACAAAGAGGTATAAAGAGAAGCACTGGCCGGGCGCGGTGGCTCAAGCCTGTAATCCCAGCACTTTGGGAGGCCGAGACGGGCGGATCACAAGGTCAGGAGATCGAGACCATCCTGGTTAACACGGTGAAACCCTGTCTCTACTAAAACTACAAAAAAACTAGCCGGGCGAGGTGGCGGGCGCCTGTAGTCCCAGCTACTCGGGAGGCTGAGGCAGGAGAATGGCATGAACCCGGGAGGCGGAACTTGCAGTGAGCTGAGATCCGGCCACTGCACTCCAGCCTGGGCGACAGAGCGAGACTCCGTCTCAAAAAAAAAAAAAGAGAAGCACTGATTAGACAGAAACGAACATGCACTGGAGACAATCAAACCAAAACTGTTTTTTTGGCGACACTAATCAGAATGGCCAGCCTCTGGGCAGGTGGGGAAGAGGGAGCATAAATAAACAATTTAAAAGTAGGCCAGGTGCAGTGGCTGACACCTGTAACCCCAGCACTTTGGGAGGCTGAGGTGGGAGGATCACTTGAGCCCAGGAATTGGAGACCAGCCTGGGCAACATAGCAAGACCCTGTCTCTGGCAAAAATTTAAAAACTAGCTGGACATGGTGGCATGCACCTGTGATCCCAGCTACTCGGGAGGCTGAGGTGGGAGGCTGGCTTGAGCCTGGGAGGTTGAGGCTGCAGTGAGCTGTGACTGCACCACTGCACTCCAGTCTGGGTGACAGAGCAAGACCATGTCTCAAAAAATAAATAAATTAAATAAATAAATAAATAAATAAAGTGGACACAGCCATAGATATAACATAGATTTAAAAGATAATGTGAACAATTTTAGGCCAATACATTTCTAGAAAAATATAACTAAGCTAACTCTGACTCAAGAGGAAATAGAGAACCTGAATAGTCTTAATAAGTCTTAAAGAAATAGAATCAGCCGGGCGCGGTGGCTCACGCCTGTAATCCCAGCACTTTGGGAGGCCGAGGCGGGCGGATCACAAGGTCAGGAGATCAAGACCATGGTGAAACCCCGTCTCTACTAAAAATAGACAAAATTAGCTGGGCGTAGTGGCGGGCGCCTGTAGTCCCAGCTACTCGGGAGGCTGAGGCAGGAGAATGGCGTGAACCCGGGAGGTGGAGCTTGCAGTGAGCCGAGATTGCGCCACTGCACTCCATCCTGGGCGACACAGCGAGACTCCGTCTCAAAAAAAAAAGAAATAGAATCAGTAATTAACATCACAAACAAAACATCAGGCCCAGTCAGTGAGTTCCACTGAACTTTCAAAACATAAATTCCCTATAGAAATGCTCTAACTCATTTACAAGACTAGTGTAACCCGGATATCAAAACCTGATGAGAATGGTGCAGTGCACAGCTGCAAAAAGTCTAGACCAGTTATTGGTAAACCAGATCTGAATTGTATGCAAAGATCACAGTGAATCATGATTATGTTTGATTTACCCCAGGAATTATAAGTTGGTTTAACTTCAGGAAATAAGTTAATGTAAGCCATTCCCTTAACACATTGAAGGAGAAAAATTAGGTCATTTCAATGCAGAAAAAGCGTTTGACAGAATTTATCATCTATTCATGAGAAAGACTCCTAGAAATTAAGACTAGAGGGGAACTTTGTGACCTGATGAAGGGTGTCATCTTTTTAAAAAAGAACAGGCCTGGCGCGGTGGCTCACACCTGTAAACCCAGCACTTTGGGAGGCCAAGGTGGGCGGATCACCCTGAGATCCCTGAGATCAGTAGTTCAAGGCCCATCTGATGAACATGGCAAAACGCCATCTCTACTAAAAATACAAAAATTAGCCGGGTGTGGTGGCACGCACCTATAATCCCAGCTACTCAGGAGGCTGAGGCAGGAGAATCTCTTGAACCTGGGAGGTGGTGGGGGTTGCAGTGAGCTGAGATAGTCTGGGTAACAGATCGAGATTCCATCTAAAAAAAAAAAAAAAAAAAAAAGAACATAACAGGCCAAGCGTGGTGGCTCCTGCCTATAATCCCAGCACTTTGGGAGGTCGAGGCAGGTGGATTGCTTGAGGTCAGGAGTTCCAGACCAGCCTGGCCAACATGGTGAAAACCCATCTCTACTAAAAATACAAAAAGAAAAAAGAAAAAATTAGCCAGGCATGGTGGCATACACCTATAATCCCAGTTACTTGAGAGGCTGAGGCAGGAGAATTTCTTGAACCCTGGAGATTGAGGTTGCAGTGAGCTGAGATCACACCACTGCACTACAGCCTGGGCAACAGAGTGAGACTCTGTCTCAAAAAATAAAAATAAAAATAAACAAAAGAATATAATAAACATCACATGTAAGTACGAAAGGTTGAGTGTATTTTATTTAAGATGAGGAACAGGACAGGTTCCCACTATCACATTTCTGTACATCATTGTACTCACTTGCATAGTAAGTCTCAGCTAGCAAGGAAGATAAAAAAGAAATAAAAGTTATAATAATTGAAAAAGAAAAAAGAAGTATTGTTTTGGTATATCTATATAGAAAACACAGAGAAATCTAAAAATAAGTTTTTAGACTCAATCAGGAAATTTAGAAATGTTGCTCTACATAAAATCACTATACAAAATAACTAGGATTCTTTCTCTCTCTCTCACTCGCTCGCTTTCTTTTTTTCGAGACAGAGTTTCACTCTTGTTGCCCAGGCTGCAGTGCAGTGGCACGATCTCAGCTCACTGCAACCTTTGCCTCCCAGGTTTAAGCAATTCTCCTGCCTCAGCCTCCTGAGTAGCTGGGATTACAGGTGCACACCACCACGCCTGGCTAATTTTGTATTTTTAGTAGAGACAGGGTTTCTCCATGCCGGTCAGGCTAGTCTCAAACTCCCGACCTCAGGTGATCCGCCTGCCTTGGCCTCCCAAAGTGCTGGGATTACAGGCATGAGCCACCGCGCCCAGCCCAAAATAACTGGGTTTCTAAACGAGTGACAGAAAATGCAACTTTAAAAATGGAATCCTTCATAGTGGTGTGAAAAATATGAAACACTTAGAAATAAATAGAGTATAAATGTTCAGGACCTTGATGGAGAATATTATAAAAGTTTATGAGATAAACTAACAGCGACCCTGATAATTAATACATATATATTGCATATAGATTGAAAGCCTCAATACCAAAAATGTATATTTCCCCCAAATTAATCTATTGATTCTATACAATTCCTGTCAAAAGTCCACTGTGGCCGGGCGCGGTGGCTCACGCCTGTAATCCCAGCACTTTGGGAGGCCGAGGCGGGCGGATCACAAGGTCAGGAGATCGAGACCATGGTGAAACCTCGTCTCTACTAAAAAATAGAAAAAAATTAGCCGGGCGCAGTGGCGGGCGCCTGTAGTCCCAGCTACTCGGGAGGCTGAGGCAGGAGAATGGCGTGAACCCGGGAGGCGGAGCTTGCAGTGAGCTGAGTTCCCGCCACTGCACTCCAGCCTGGGCGACAGAGCGAGACTCCGTCTCAAAAAAAATAAATAAATAAAAAAATAAAAAGTCCACTGTGTGCATGTATATAACCTGACAAGTCGATACTAAAAATTATAAGGGCAAATAAAGGGTCAAGAATAGCAAAAATTTAGCCAGGCGCAGTGGCTCACACCTATAATCCCAGCACTTTGGGAGGCTGAGGTGGGCGGATCACCTGAGCTCAGGAGTTCCAGACCAGCCTGGCCAACATAGCCAAACCCTGGCTCTATAAAAAATACAGAAATTAGCTGGGCATGGTGGTGCACATCTGTGGTCCCAGCTACTCGGGAGGCTGAGGTAGGAGGATTGCTTGAGCCCAGGAAGTGGAGGCTGCAGTGAGCTGAGATTGTGCCATTGCACTCCAGCCTGGGCGACAGAGTGAGGTCTTGTCTGAAAAAAAAAAATTCAAAGAAGAACCCAGGTAGAAGCATTAACCTTTTAATAAGACTTTTGTAATCAATGCAGGGAGTATTGGCCCAGAGCAGATGAAGAGTTCGTCTGAGCAGAGCGGAGAGCAGACAGTTGGGGCCCTTCTGTGAATGGTGTCATGACAATTTAATTATATTAAGATGATGAAAATGGCGCCTGCCTCACATGATACAGAAAAATCATTTGCAAGTGGTTTAAAATAGAAAAAGCAAAACTGCACAAATTTTAGAAGAGAACATAGGAGAATCTATTCTCAAATCTCCCAAAGAATCTCTCACAACAATGAACAAAGGAAGAATTTCCTAGGATTCAAAAAGCACAAAACATAGGGAAAAGCTGGATATATTTCGGTTACAGTATAATGAGGAACTTCAACATATCAAAAGAATCACAAAATAAGCAAAAGACAAATCACAGAGTGAGAGAAGATACTGCAGCTACACACATCTGATGGAGGATTTGTGCCCAGAACGTGTGAGGACTTCGACAAATCAATCAGAAGGAGAGACAGAATCCAGTTGAAAAGTGGGTGGAAGATTTGAACAGGCATTCTGGCAAAGGGGAAGACGTGAATGGGCAATGAATGTGAGAAAATGCCCTACTCCATTAGCGAGCAGGAAAATGCAGATTAAAACAGAGTGAGAGGCCTGAAATACCTACCAGACTGGCAGAAATGTGAAGGCCGATAGCACGAGGGTGTTGGAGAGAACGAAGGCTGATAATATGGGGCTGTTGGAGAGGACGAAGGCCAGTAGCATGGGGGTGTTGGAGAGAACGCGAAGCAGGCCAGAGTCTGTGAGATGCTGGGGCCTAATTGGGCCCTAATTTAGCAGCATCCAGTGAGGTCAAGAGGCACGTCCCACGGCCCAGCAATTCCTCTCCTTGGGTTAGATCTGCAGGCTCATGTCCAAGCACCAGGAGAACGACATTAAATGTCCATTGGAGAATTGAAATAGCAGGAAATGGACAGCAGCACAAATCTCCATCAAAGTAGAATGGATCAATAAATTGTCACACGATAGACTAATATATGTGGTGAAAACAATTGATTCATAGCTACACGCAACAACACGGGTACGCCGCAGCACCAGAAGACAGCAGCTCAGCTCTCTTGCATGAATTTCAAAAGCATGGGGCTGGGCGCAGTGGCTCACACCTGTAATCCCAGCACTTTGCGAAGCCCAGGCGGGTGGATTGCCTATGCTCATGAGTTCGAGACCAGCCTGGACAACATGGTAAAACCCTGTCTCCTACGAAAATACAAAAACTTAGCCAGTTGTGGTGGCGCACCTCTGTAGTCCCAGCTACTCAGAGACCGAGGCATAAGAATTGCTTATACCCAGGAGGCAGAGGTTGTAGTGAGCTGAGATGGCACCACTGCACTCCAGCCTGGGCGACAGATCGAGACTCTGTTTAGAAAAAAAAAGAAAAGAAACGAATTTCAAAAGCATGCACAACTGCACAATAAATTGCACATAGATGTACAGAGAGGGAACGGTGAACACAAAATTCCGGACAGTGGTGGCCTCTGAAACGTGGAGGTTCGGGAGAGGCGGCACCGTGCTTGGATGCTGGGATCCTCTGTGTCTTCCACAGAGCCCTAGTGTCCATTATTATTTGTAGAATTAAATGTTAATTATATAAAAAGAAAAAAAAATCCTCCTAGTTCTCCCCGCTTCCCCATAAGTGGACCCAGCGCACAGTGACAGGGTTGAGACCTACAGGGGACATCGCAGAAGCCACTGAAGAGCTGTTGGACTTGCAGGTGCTGTGGTGGGAGGGTGGGGTGCAGGGGCCTAGTGTGGGGGGCAGCAGGGGTGTGGCTACAACCCCCACCTCCCACCGCAAAGGCTGTGACCAACTCCGGGACCCCGGAGGAGTTTCTGGGGAACCAGAGTGACACCAGTCTGTCCAGTTTGTGACCTTCCCCAGCGGCGGGAGCCTGGGCAGGTGCCTCGAGGTTCCAGATGACAATTCTGCCAGGTGAGAAAGACAGAGGGTGAGAGAGTGAGGGACGGGGCAGGGGACGGGGGCAGCAGGAGGACACTGATGTCGGAGAGGGATGGGGGACGGACTGTGAGCAAGTGTGCTGGAGGGTCCGGAGGAAGATGGGATCCTTGAGGGGTGACAAGCTCGGCTTGTTGTTGGCTTAGACATCGTGCAGCAGTGCCCACCACACAGCCTGTCCTGGACCTAGTCACCCCCAGCTCCAGACTCTTGTCAACTCTACACATTTCTCTTGTGGATTCTCTTCCCTGCAGCCCTGGATGAGCATTTCAAACCCTCTCCTCCCTCTGCCAACCTGCAGATGCCCCCTTCTCACTCTCAGTTGCTTGTTTTGTTTCTTATTTCACTGAGAAAGTAGAATAATCACAATAAAGCCCTCATCCTCCCCCAAATGAATCCTCCAGCCCACCTGTGCCTGCAGTCGTGCGACCTGCTTTTCCTTCTCTACCTTGAGCAAGCTGTCCCAAGTCTGGTGCCCTCTTGCCTGGGCAAGGCAAGACACTCTTTTTCTTGCATCAGCAATTTTTCTTTCTGTTGAGTCACTGCCATCAGTATACAAAGTCCAATAATATCCCCTACCTTAAAAAACAAAACAAAACCCTCCTTAATGCTGCATCTCTGTTGTTCCCTGTCTCACTGGACAAGCTGTCTACACCTGCTGTAGGCACTTCCTCCTGGACAAGCTGTCTGTCTACACCTGCTGTAGGCACTTCCCCCGGCCAAGCTGTCTGTCTACACCTGCTGTAGGCACTTTCTCACTGAACGAGCTGTCTACACCTGCTGTAGGGGCTTCCTCACTGAACAAGCTGTCTACACCTGCTGTAGGGGCTTCCTCACTGAACAAGCTGTCTACACCTGCTGTAGGCACTGCCTCACTGAATGAGCTGTCTACACCTGCTGTAGGCACTGCCTCACTGAATGAGCTGTCTACACCTGCTGTAGGGACTTCCTCACTGAACGAGCTGTCTACACCTGCTGTAGGGGCTTCCTCACAACTCATTCTCTTCAATCCACCCCACTCAGGCTGCTCCTCTGTGGAAACTGCTGTCCGGGTGATGAGCACCTCTGTCTTTCCACTCTGACAGCTGAATGTCCGTCCTCATCTGTATGGACCACATGCGCTCCTCCCTCGCCTCTGGGACAGGGCACTTCCCCCATCCCCCACAGCCCTGGCCCCACAGCCCTGGCTGCTCCTCCTCACCGACTTCACTCTTGGGGAGTACCAGCATCCTCTGTCTCTGACTTTGGTCACTTCCTCGTGGTGATGCATCAGGCAGGATGACACTCGCAAGGGACTGTCTACCACAATCTGCGCGATCTGTGCAAGGCGCAGGAAGTCCCAGGGGCCAAGACTCACCACCCCCGAGTGATGCCACCCCCTGCTGGCAGGAACAAGGGGAGGAGGCAGGAACTGGAACCAGAGAGAGACAAAGGAGAGTGGTGGGTGCCTGACAAGGCCGGAGCTTCAATTGAGGCGCACAGCCAACCCTCGGTGACCTGGCAGGAGGAAGTCAGGGGAGTCGTAGACACCTTGGCCTTGCTCTTTCCTTCCCTCAAGGGCCTTTGGTGCTCCTGTTGGCCTAGCATAACTAGAAACCAGAGGTCAAGGAACAGGCTGACGTGGCCTTCGAAGGCCAGTGTCAGCGTCACGCAGCATGGAGGGAAGGGCAGAGAGGATGTGGCGAGCCCAGCCTCCAGGCGCAGGGCTGCAGCAGTGGCCTCTCGTCTGAGCATCCCTTGAGATACTCCACCCCTGCATAGCATCTCCACTTCTGTATCCAATAGGCAATTCTTAATTTCCACCCTGTGACTAACAAGCTCTTCCCCACATCTTCCCCATCTCGGCAAAAGGCATCCCTATCCACACAGACACTCAGACCAAAAATGAAGAGCCTGGGTTTCTCTCTCTCCTCCACATTTCACGCTGGATGCACCCTCTCCAGGAGAGAAAGGCACTGCTCCTGGCCCCTGTGTTCAAACCACGTCATCTCTCTCTGCACTGCCCTCCAAACCCCTCCCTGGGCTCTGATTTTTTTTCTGTGACAGCCCGTTTGGCAGCCTCCCCGACAGCCTTAGCACCTGCTTCCCAGCTAAGCGAACCCTGATTTTGTTTGGGGCAACTATGTGCGCGCCTAGTGGGTGCTGGCTGTGCCTAGTGGGTGCTGGCTGCGCCTAGTGGGTGCTGGCTGTCCTGGTCCACTTTGACGTATGTTCACTTTCCCACCCTCTTAAAGTCGGGGCCGGCCACATGGCCCAGGGCGGCCTCACCGGGTTAAAGAGACACTTGCTGGGGGAGCCTCTGAGAAGCTTTTCCTTTGTTAGGAAAGAAAATCGTAACCTGATTCACAAAGTGGCCTTCCTTTGTACACCTGCCACTTCCTTCCCGTTTGCGATGGTGGTGTAACGGTGTGATGCCCTGTGCTATGACAGCCACCCTGGGCCATGAGGCAACAGGCAAGAGGGCAGAAAGTGTAGGTGGGGGATTTTGGAGGGAGGACAGACAGTGGCTTCGTACTCAGTGAGATCACAATGGCATCGTG